GGTTTGAACGGCTTCTTGCCCTTAGGCTCTGTTTCCTGTTTCTCCATGGCTTTGTTACACAATAACATGTTGTGATCAAGCTGACAGGTGCTGCACTTTGGTTGAGTGCAATTTCTACTGTTGTGTTTGTTAGAAAAGCAAATCCAACAGAGATTTCTCTTTTTGACTTGGTCTCTTCTTTCGGTGACCGAAGCGAATGTTCTGCACATACTAGTGGCGTGGTTAATTCTCCCGCAAAATGCGCACTGATTCATTGAAGAACGATTCCGTTCTTTTGGGATAGGATTTAAACGTTCCCCATCATGGAAACTTTCCTTTTCTTCCCTTAGTTTAAACTTTACAATCTTTTCGTGTAAAGCGTTTAGGATTTCTTCTGACGTTGTTGCGTCAGCATCCATTATTATGTCTCCCACAATTCTGAATGGGAATTTTGGCAACACGTGACTGAGGCAAATCTCCTTTGATACCGTGCCCCCTACTGTCTCTATCTGTCGTAATAGAGCTTTAATTTCTCTGTAGGTTTTTTCACAGTCTGTTGCTTTTAGTTGAGCTGTTTTCACGCTCTGCAGTTTTCTCAGAAGAGTATATAAGTCGGTTTTGTACACCCCGTACTCTTTCTGTAAGCAGTCTTTTATGAACTCATAGTTGTCCTCTGTGGGATCAACATTTATGAGTGCTATGGTCTTTGCATGTAGACCTTCGAATAGCAGATTTATTTTCTCTGCTTTTGACAACGTCTGATCTTTATCGATCAGTGTCTCGAATCTGGTCCAATAAGACCTAAAGTTTCTTGGTTCTCCATCAAATGTGGGTACACGAATTGGTTGACGTTGTATTATCGTTGTTGGCTGTTGTACAGCCATTGGTGATGCACTTGGTTGTTGCATGGCTCTTATTGCTTTTGTCAGCTCTTCAGCCCAATTTGTCTCTATGGGCTTAGTTCTTTTTTCCTCTTTTAGCTCTATCAGCTTTTTTGTCAACTTATGGTATAAGTTGTACCCTCGCGTCACGAGATCTTTAAGGTCAACGTTGCTTAGTTTGACTCTTTCATCAAACCCGGGCTGGAGGTCTGGTGACAAGGCTACTCGGATCAGTTTGTCATACACCTTTTTGAATTCTTCTATCTCAATGATGCTCATTTCGTCAAGTACGCTTAGAGCTGATGCTGTATTGTCCATTCTTTTTGGAAACCTGGTGGCCTTAATTTGGCCGATGCACCAATTGTTTCGGTGGGGTTCAGTGGATTTATAGTTTATGAGTGTGATCTGGTTGTCACTTACACTTCGGTTATCACCGTTCTAAGAGGTGTATTGTA